TAGGTTGTGATTATGTTGAGTTCATTTAGGTGTTGAGCCACTGATGCCCCTTTCGCCATCCGCAAATTGAATAATTGCCTCATCAAATGAACTTTGTTTGAGGCCGATGGCTTCTCATACATACTGGAGAGAGCCTTCATAAGACCCGCCGTGGTCTTTTCCTTTGCTATGTTGAAAGCAACATTGCGGGATAACGTCAGTCGGATAACTCCGAGGGCTTGTATATCGAGAAGAGCTCAGTCTTCATTCTTCATGCCCTCTGGTTTCTTTCCTGAGAGAGGTTGATATAGATTTTTCTGGTATAAAAAATCTTCAATCTGCATCTTCCAAAAGCCAAAGTTCGCACCATCAAACTTTTCAATTTTCACATTCCCTTCGTCTGCAGCCATCGCTCCCACTCGAATCTGGCTTCGTTTGGATCATTTCTGACAATTCTTGCGAACCACCGTGTATTAGAACACCTCCGTCGACAAATTCGTATCGCCGACAAATTTTTTACTATTCACAAAATTTACTAATTATGTGAATAGTAACCTCACAAAAAAATTGATAAAATTCATAACCAAAAGCTCTGATTACCAGTTGTTAGGAAATAAACTGAGTACGAGTAATTTCCCTATAATCAGATTAGTGATAATGCAAATAAAAGCGGAAAACTAATAGCCGAAATTGATAACGGAGTTTAGCCAATTACGCCTACGTCTCCGGACTGCTGCAAATCTTTTACTAAAGAGAAAATTTACAGGTGTTTACAAAAACAATCACAACTCACAAGAGAACTCTCTAAACTCTTTAGTATTGAGAGGAAGAAATGATTTTGGGATGAGTTTGAAGCTAAATGGCCTAGGGTATTTATAGTTGAAGTTTAAGGACTAATCTTGAAAATACCCTAAAGTGTACAGTGGCTAAAATGTAATTAACCCATTTCCAAAAAAATAAAAAATTGGGGTGCACCGAAAGCCACTGATTCAGTGCATTAATGAGCAGCAAAATATGACTTTGATGATTTCTGCAGCCCCCCTTCATTTCTGCGGCCCCCCTTCTTGGACTTTCAACACAGATAATTTAGTGGATAATTTGCTGGGAGATTTCAAATATGAGGTCCAAGTCCCTTACTTGTTGTATCGGATTGCAGCACAAGAAGTTAATGGCATGTGGTTCTACAATTCTCGTGAATGTGAGGATGTTGCAAACCTCTTTAGTAGGTATAATATCCTTCTCGTTTTTGTCCATTTAGCTGACTTTTATTATCATCTTTGAGCATGGTTATCGCAAGTGAATTCAAAGATGGGGTTCAGACTATCTTTTATGGGTGGTTTTAAGCTGCCCACACTCTTATGGTTAATTGATTTTTTAAGTATTCATAAATGTGTGACAAAATTTTAGATAAGTATGTCCATGCACTAAAATGTTGAACCGTTGATGTTTGTGTTTTTAGCTCTACAAAACTATCAAGTCTAGGCTTATTAATTGTATGCACTAGAGTATATTTCCATATCTAAATCAGTTGTTCCTAGGACCTTACAACAATTTTGCAACTTCCATAATTTAGAATAAACCTCACAAGCATTCATACAAATTTATATCAATGTGTTTTGTGAGTTACAATTCAATAAGTGATGTTATGAGTCTGTTTCTTTGGGTGATTTACTTGTAACATTGTAATTGTTGTCTTCCTTGCAGGATACTTAATGCATATTCAAAAGTTCCTGCAAAGCCAAAAGTATCTTCAAGCAAAAGGTAATGCTTTTTACAAAGCAAAAGGTCGTTATGTATAAGGAAGTTACTGCTTCCTTGGAAGCCTTAGAATATATTTAACTGTTGATTTGCCCCTGCAGTTGTGGGGCATACAACTCGTCTTACCTTTCATGTTATTTTGTTAGATACCTGTATGGCATTTTGTCAGTTGTCTGTTTATTGCATGTATAGAGTAGAGGTCCTTATGTGAATAAGTTAAGGTTTCCCCGCAATTTCAAACATTAAGGATTGAGGTAAAGGTGGTGGAGAGGAGGAGTAGGATGGACTATGGTCTATGAGTGCCAAATTTTGTGGCAGATGGAGGAACTAGATAGTAGCAAGTGAACAGAATACCAAGTAGGAACTGAGAACACGGAAAATTTAGGAGATGTAATTAATAATCGGTATTGTACTGTATTCTTGAAGGAGGTGGGTGAAACAAGAGTTTTTCGTGAAAAGTGTATTGCTATAACAATGAGCCTCAACTCCCATATCTACAGGTTATAAGGTGCACCGTAATGTAACTCAATAGTTAATACTTGTCAGACATGCTAAGTCACATGGGTAAATGTTTAACATTATGACTAGCCAGAGAACAAGCATCTACATATTGTAATATTAATTATTTTCTAGTAATTTAGTGATTTTGACGCTGCTGGTTGTCACTATTTTAATTTTGTTTCCTTTCTGCAGTGTGCAAGTTTTCTAAGCTTTTTTGTTACCATCATGCAGTGAGTTTGGGAGCTAGAAGCAGTTCCTAGCATGTCTGTAATCGAAGGTCCCTTGGAGCCACCAGCAACTGCTGCTCCTACAACTGATGCACCCGAAGATTCATTGTTTGTTAATTTTTTTAGTGTATGCCCACATCTAATGCTCATCTTTTGGCCTTTCAGGGCCTAATATTTATCCTATCTCTCTTATTAAACTTACTTTATTAACTAATTTCAGGCTTCTATTAAACTCGGAATTAATGCTCCAAATCTTACAAATTCAATACAGCCTTACCACTCTATATCGACTGCACCTGCGTCTTCTCATGCACCAGCTGTCGTCTCTGCTCCAGCACCAACTCCACCAGTGCCGTCCCATACTCCTGCTCCACCTTCACTTGATTCAGTAAGTAGCAGCAGCCAAGTGACCAATCTCATTAAGCCTTCTTCATTTTTGCTCCTCCTACCTCATCACCATCCTCATTGATGATGCCATCTGTCTCTTCATCAACACCAACTGCTTCTGCTCTTCATCCTCCCCTCAACCTGCAACGTCCCTATGACACTCCTCTGCTCCAACCCTTTCCACCACCTACTCCACCTGCTTCTCTCACTCCTAGTGCACCACCTACTTTGCATGATGGAACCCTTATTAGCAGGGATAAAGTCCGCAATGCACTTCATATGCTTGTTCAGGTATTTATATAACTTTTTCTGCCTCTTGATTCCTGTTTTTAACTTAAAATGTTAATTTGTAGCCAGCGCATATGGCTTTTGTATGATTACTAATTAAGCCAGAAGATAAATTCTAAAAGGAAGAAAAAAAATTATTCTTCAGACTATGATAGTAGGTAATGCAAATGCCCTCGAGGAGATGCAATAAGCAGTATTGTTGTCCAACTGAGAATATCTTTACACATCTGGAATAGTATTGATGAGAATTGTTTCTAAGATTTCTAGACTGAACTTGGTGTGGCGTGTTTGGAAGGCCACTAATAAATCTCTGGTGAAGACACATGCATGCATAATTTGAAGCCCCAATAATTTCATGTAGGATTTTTCCTATTGACTGAATAGCTTTGGTCGTTCTTGTGCTTAGGATGATCAATGCATTGACATGTTCTACCAGGCATTGCAAAAGTTGCATCATTCATGAACTCTAAAGTTGATCCTCGAAACTTCACTTCAAATTTCCATGTACACCATACACGTTTGTTTTCTTCAGTCAGGTATCTCAACTTTGGCACTGGATTTGATATTACCCTAAATGTTAATGAAGGACACACTATCCTGTTACCATTCAAGCTTGTACAGCTCGAATTGATGCAGAAAACTAAAATGTGACGCAAGTTTGCTGATGTGACAAAAAGTTTGGCCTGTATGATTAAAATAAACCTAAAGTCTCAAGATGCACCAAAAAACATAAATTGTAGGGCTCTCAGAGAAGATAGAGAAATTAAAAACCATCATCATTTCCTCCAACAACAGTCCACCATCATTCCATCCATGTCAACATTCACCTTGCTGTCTTCCTTAATCACCATTTTCTCTCAGCTGTGTTGAGCTTGCTTTCAGTTGGGAGAGTTCCAAGTCATTGATATTTCACCACATTTCTTAGATGTTCGTCATATAGAGGGTGGTGGAATGCACAGCAGCTGTGGTGAGTGAAGGATAAGAGGAATAATTATTATTTATGATAATGATTTCAGTTTGGGAATTTCTGCCAACCTTGTATGTTTTCTTGGAGTATCTACTGCAAGAAGGTTTACTATTTCGCCACCTGATAACCCCCCATACAGGGATGGACTTGGGCGCAGTTACCTCTAAAAATTTAAAATTTTTATATATTTTAGAATTTTCTATGTATTTTTTATTAAAAATATATTTTCTACCCACCTCTCTAGGGAATTTTTGTTTGTCCCCTAAGTTTAAGTTTGCCCCACCTTACATTTTCCATCCCCGTCTCATATAGTCTTCTTCCATTGCTTTAGGCTAAGATGGTTGAGATTTTAATTTTCTATTTATTAAGTCAAATAAACGAACATTAACAAACATTATGCGAACAATTCACAAACAACTCATCAAAAACTTAGTTCATTTAGATCTCTAGTTAAAGCTAGTTTTCTCCATAGACAGGTTTAATTGCTTTTAATCATTTCTGATGGAGAACACGATTTCATAATTCATGAATGCGTTTTAAGAGTTTGAACACAAATTATTTAACTTCTGCTCGTTTCATACTAATGAGTGGGTGATTAAGTGAGTTCAAGCTTTAATATGGATTTTCAACGTCCGGAGGTCTTAGCTTAGTATTTGTGAATTTGAAGGCTTTGACTTAATGATAGCTTAGGTTTCACTATTTGAGTTATATCTTAAATTTAAGTATTATTATATAAATCTTGAAATTTTATTTTGATTTAAGTCTCACACGTTATAATCAGGTGATCAAAACATAAAGTTAAATATGAATTTTGAAATAAAAAATAATTGAGTGATCAAAATAAAAGAAAAGGAAACTGTGCTTGTTCGTTTGCACGGTGTTTTTCAGTGGAGATGGCGGCTCTCAGAAGACTCATCATCGGAACCTCCAAGCCCTCTTCCCTTCTTATTTCCCACAGAGGTATCGCCTCTAAGCTCTTCGTTGGAGGTACATCCCTCATCTCTTTCTTTCTCTTTTTTTTTGCTGTATAATTTTCTTATACAGAAACATCAGTTTATCCTGTAAATGGAAATGCTTCATCAATTTTTAGTAATGATATAATATTCGTCTGATTGCAGTTCTCTTCTGCTTCGGCTCATTTTAATTGTAAATGGGTAATTTAATTGATTTATAGTAATTGAAAATGAATGGCCCCTTTTAGCCGAAATAAGTTGAAACCGAGAAACCCCAATGCTTCCTCTTTGTTGATAGTTATGACAGTGAACAGATATTTGCTTAAACTAACAGGTCTGTCCATTTATACCACGGAGAAAGGGCACTCAGATGCATTTTCTCAGTATGGTCAAGTTATGGAAGGTCAGTATGTGATTTGAATCCTTATCTTTGTCTTGATATCAGGACGGTCTATCGGAATAGCGTCTGCGATAAAAGTGCTGTCCGAAACTGTTATTGACTTCTTGCACAACTGAACACCCAAAATGACCGTAATAGCACCGGTTATTTCTGTGGTCGCAACAAATGCAACGTAACCGAAAATGCGATCACAACCGTAGTTTAAATCCCTGCATGATATTGAGCAACACTCCGAGGTGTTTATGAATTGGTTTTTGCTTGAACTTGTGCTAACATTGCTGCTTTTACCAGCCAAAATCGTAATGGATAGGGTTTCAGATAGATGGAAAGGTTTCGGGTTTGCTAATTATGCATCGGAATATTATTTTAGGAAGTTTATTACTAGCATGTCTAGTTTACTCTAGTGATTCGAATAACCTGCCGAAATCTGATTTCATTTGGAAGATTATTTTGGATTTCTGAATAGATGGTCCAATTGGAGAGAGCATTCAAAGATGGAAGCTAGAGGAAATTTGAACAAGAAAAAGAAAAGGACTCTCTATTTCAATTCGGCTGGGAAGTTAGGTGAAAGGGTCTTGATCCGCTGAAAACACCTATTTACACTTTTAAACGATTCAAAAATTAAGAAAATGAATATAAATCAACAATTTTTCAAATTCAATAACATGAACACTGGATGCATGTACCCTAATTTCCCAAATTTCCACTAAAAGTTTATTGTGGGTTAATAGGCATGTGAATCTATTTCTTTTATATTCTTTTTAAATTTGGTCCTTAAAATTTTTGGTTTTCAATTTAATCCTAAATCGAACCATTTTCCATGCAAATGAACTTAATCAATTTATACACTATTCCCAATTATTAAAAACAAATATTCTAATCCTTGAAATGGTTTTTCTATTATCGAACTCTGGAAAAAAAATCATATTTTGAAAATTGAGGATGTTATGGTTTCGGGTTTGAATCTTTTAGAATTATAAATAAAATTACATGTAGCTACAATTTGTGTTAAATCCACATTTAATATTTTATATATATTTTGGTAACATTTATGATATTTGCTTTAAATATTACATAAAATCTAGAAAATGACATAAACAATGTAACATTATGCGTATAAACTCAATAAGTTACGAGAGTTTGGCTGAAAAATTGATTAAGATTAATGTAGTTATAGTTCATATTAAACAACCTTTGACCTTTTAAAGTACATTGAAGTAATATTTTCGGATTCTACTTCTAAAATTGCATTGAATCTAATAATTGAAGTGATTCTCGTAATATTAAGGTTGCACTTGATTCATAAAACGTAAGATTGTCCATGAGAATAACATTATAAAATGTAAGATTCAAATTATGAAAACGAAAAAGATGTTACATTGCATTATTTAATTCATGTGATCACGATATAAGATTATGATATTAAGCAGAGTAAATGCAGAATTATTTAGAATCACAATTTACAAAAAATTTTTATTAGATAACTCTTTATAAGATAAATTTTATTCATTTAATATTTTTAACATCAATTTCCATAAAACTTATGATAAATTATTATGACTCTTATTTTAGTATATATATATATATATAAATAAAGTAATAAGATCCTATTACACAAGGCTTGTTAAAAAAATAAGTGTCAAAATTATACCACTTTTTTTTAAAGAGGAGTCTAATTATTTTTAATTAATCCAAGTGTCCAATGTTACAAACATTACCACTTTAGGTGCCTCGATCGTAACATCATTAAAAAGATCTTTTAAGTGACATATGTCATTGATCCCTCCGTTTTCTGTCAAAGGGGATACAAATGATAGAATTTCATTCCCAACGATATATTTTTTTTCCTTTCTATTTTTTGTTGGGGTTTATTTGTAAACTATTTGTAAATGATGAAAGTGGAAAAGCAGTGAGATGATACATCATCAGATAATTGTATGATAATTCTGAAGATTTTATTTATATTTAAAAATATTAAAAAAAAATTCCTCCCCAAACCAAACCCTTATCCCTCCCCATCCCCCTCCTCTACAATTTTGGCACACTTCCTTTGCAAGGTCAAAGGATTCAAAGATGATGAAAAGGACAAACAATTCATCATCTCCATCTCATTCACTGCGTGGTTCAGATCAATTTTCATGAACACTCCAAGTTCCCCCCCCCCCCCTTAAAAACAAGAGCTTTTCGTCTCGCTGTAAGCATAAACATAACCAAACAAAACAATCGAGGAGAGTAATCAAAGAAAATATGTAAAATTACGCATTAAGTACCTTAATTATTAATTTTGGCCATTTTAGTACCTAAATTTTTAATTTTTTTTCAAAATAATATCTAATGTTTAGTTTTTGTTTTATTTTAGTATTCAGCTGTTAAAAACTTAACAAATGGGCTGACGTAACATAGCTCCAGTGGAAAAACGACCAATCTTAACAGTGGATCACGAGAAAATGATGAGTTGACCAACATAGTCCAATTTCAGAACCATCTGACGGAGGACCATAGAGATCGAAGGATGAAGAAATCGAAGAGTTTATTGTCGATTTGGGGAGATTGAGGTGTTTTCCGATGAACCGGAGGCTGAAATAGCATTCAGGAGGTTGAAAAGGCGAGGATTAGAAAGTTTGGACTTCATCGACCGACATATGCGACAATCGACGACTGTGGACACGATCAACAAGCTTGTCCGTTAAATTTTTAATAGTGAGATATTAGATGAAACAAAAAATAAACGTTAGGTATGATTTTGAATCACAACATTCTTACGACTCATGTTGTAGTAGTTTACAAAAACGCATCAGTCCTGAATAAACATTGTATATGAAAACAAAACAACATATATTAAACTATATTTTTTTTGAAAATTACATTAAACTAGAATATTAAATGATTTAGTTGAAATATTATTTTGGGTAAATTACGAACTTAGTACCTAAACTATTAGTTTTAGTTCGTTTTAGTACTTAAACTTTCAATTTTTCAAAACCATACTTAAAGTTTAGTTTTATTTCATTTTAGTACACCTAATCAAAATTTAAGGTTTAGTTTTGAAAAAAAATTAAAAGTTTAGGTACTAAAACGAACAAAAATTGACAGTTTAGTTACTAAACACTTTAAATTTTTAACGACGAGTAGTAAAATGAAATAAAAAATAACCGTTAAGTATGATTTTAAAAAAATTGAAAGTTTAGGATCAAAACTGATAGTCTAAATACGTAGTTTACTTAATTATTTATATATTTCAAAAATATTTTTTCCTTTTAATAAATAAATCATTAGAGTAAGTATAATAATTATACTTTTAAGGTATGCGTTCACATCAATGATTATACGATAAAAATGAGATTTTTATTTTTAATAGATTCAAATTTTATTTAAAAAATAGTAATTGATAAAAATAATAAAATGATGGTTTAAAATTTAAGGTTAGACCCTTGATCTAACAAATGATGTAAATCTCACAAAACCTATTCTTAGGAAAAGAATAAACGTAAGAATTTTATTTATATCATTATTATACGAACCAAACGTGTTCTATATTTTCATTATTAAAAACAATTTTTATTTTAATTTACCGAAATTTTTTCTGTTCCAAGAATATAAGAAATGAAAACTTATTATTAAAATATAAATTTTGGATAAAGTGACGTGTAGCATTTATTCTTGTTTGAAAAAATTCTAATAAACCAAAAGTACAGAAAAATATTTGTGTTAAAAAAATTTGAGTCAATAAGTTGGCATTTCTTATTTTATATCTGAAATTTTATTTAAATTTTTTTGAGATAAATCGAGTTATATTGTTCTAGTTTTTGTTTAAATTTAGGGTATAAATTTAGGATAAAGTACATAAATGGTTTTCCAACTATAAGATATTGTTTTATTAAGTTATTTGACTATTAAAAGTTACAATATAGTCATTCGACTATAGAGCGTTGTTTTATTGAGTCCATCAATTATTAAAAGTTAGAAAATAATTACTTTTCGTTAAAAAATTGATGGTATTTTGACAAAAAGGATGAGTTTGGAACATAATTAATATTCGGATGATCATTTTTTAACTTCAAATAGACGAGAGACTTAATAAAACAATATCCAATAGATGAGGGAGCATTTGTGTACTTTACCCTTAAATTTAATTATAAATATTTATAATGTTGTGATATTCATTACTAATTTAAATGTTCTTTTATAACCACATACGATGTACATGTATATATATTTATTCATATTTTTTATATGTGATATGTATATATATCGAGTTCAACTCGAGCTTAAAAATTTATCGATTAGTTACTAAAAATTTTGATTTATGATAGTTATATTATATAACTCAACTCAAATTTAAAAAAATTTTAATTCAAATTTTTAAAATTAAAAATAAAATCAAATAAAATAAATTTAAAAAATTGTTTCTTTAGTGAATTTTGATTAGTCCTATTAAAATGCACTTAGGCCTCAGTACTGTGGAACCCAGTTAATAGCTGCTTCCCCTAACTACTTGGACAGTGGAAGAACGAAGATGTTCAATTCATTGGCTTAATCAGGTTGGGCATCTCTTATATCAACCTCAAATGAAGGTGAAAGTAGTGTACGGGAAACTGTATGACTACATCCGCTACGAACTCAAAGAAATAGCTTTCCCTTCTTCATTTCCTGACCCTCCCCACATCAAGAGGCGCCGCAAATTGACCTGGCACGAGCGTTTCTTAATAAGTTTCCTTTTCCAGTTTCTCTTCCGCTGTTAGAGTTTAGATTACTGATTGTTTTCTGGGTTTTAACGATGAATGCTATTAGGTTCTCTCTTCTTTTTTTTTGGTTCTCTTGCTTTCCTTTCCTGTTTAAATAATTGTATTTGTTGATGTTTTATGTAATGGAAAAACTACTTTACTGTTGGCTTTTGGTTTAGATATTACTGCTGCTTTAAAGAGCATGATTCTGTCATTTCTCCATTATAGTATAAATATTGAGATTGGTTTGTATACCAACAATTTTTTTTCCATTTTTCTTATTGCTGTAAGTAAAATATTTTCGAACTGTTTTTCTTATGGAAACGAAATACATGTTTTTTTTTACCTTTAATCAAGATGTGTGTTCAAAAGTTCTTTTGTTGTTTGTAACAAATTAAGGATAAAAAAGATAGAAATCTCACAGATGTCATACTAGTAATCCTGGTGCTAATTGAATCATTGAAATTTGAATTGATTAAATAATTTGAATATCAAATGATGCCCAAGGACCTATGATTTGCCTACGCTCTAGCGAATAAAGGGTATTTTTTTCCCAAGTATATTAGCAGTAAATATCTTTCATCGCTCTTTGGGTCTTGAAGGAGGCCTCTAGGCTTTATGCTGCAAGCTGGGTGAGGGATATTGGTCCCTATCTTCGACCGAATGATTATAAGAAAGATGATGAGATTGAAGGTAAACCCAATGGAGATAAGAGTAGGACTAAAGTGACAGAACCTTCAACACTGGAAGATATTGGTAAGGAAATTTATTCTGCGGCTTCTTTTCATGATATGTATCTGGTAAGTTGTCTATAATGAATCAAGAAGTATATAATATGACTTGTGTAGTATGTGACGGATTAT